ATAGCAATGAAAAATCGCCGACTATAGTGCCGAACTGGCCATGTAGAATTTTTTTTAATTATTGATTTATTTCAACATATTTCGATATCTCGCCGACTTTATAAATTTAACCAAAAGATGTTTTCCCCCGACGTTATATGAACTGACAGTGACATGGGCACTAAAACTTGTACACAATGATGAACCAGTTACATCCATAGATAACATTATATTCACTGACTAGCTATAACACAAGTTTTTCAATTTGTTTTCCTTTTTATGCTGTTCTATTTCAAACTTTATTTGACTTGATACATAAAATACAATGCATTAAAATGATATAAAATTTATCAAATATAAAAATATCTTGTCTTAATTGTATTAATTAATTGTATTAGTAGATTGACCAAATTGGTTGGGAAAAACTGATTACTAGTATTATGCAAATATAATTATGCAAATTAGATGTATTGTTATGCAAATTGACCGTGATGCTTGACATGAAGTCTGGGGAGAACACTGCTGGTCCTTTCAAGAGCAAGTCAGTTTTAGTTTACAGCAGAATTGATATAAACTGTCATCGCCATATTCAACTTTCTATTGTTTTGACTGGGTTGTAATGAATGGAAAACTGTTGACGTCCAATAATCACCAGATAAATTGTTACTGTTATCTGAAGAGCAGATATTCGGCAGAAGTTATGCATGAAACCAGTCACTCTATTAGGAGTAGTAGTAGAGTGACTGTGATGAAACCATCAATGGGAGATCATTCTCCTTTTTTTTAGCTCCATGCTCCAGCTATATGTAGCCAAATGGCTTTGCTGCTTGAGGATCCTACTATGACAATCTCATCTGGGGTATTTAATACGTGAACCCTGACCATCAATATAGGAGCATTAACAGAAAAATGATGGGTATTCATCCAGCACGAGCGAGAATGGGTTTTGTTTTCAAAGTGATTACTCGTTATAGAGGGCGCACGATGTTGACTAAACCAAGACAGTGACATGTTTCTGATTCAAAATTCATACCTGATTTGATTCTGCCGTAGTTTCAGAACCAGGGGCATTCACAAGGGGTGCTGGGTTGACAGCCATGGCACCGGTACCGACTGCTGGTTGCCAAACTTGTGGCGATGTCAATTGTTGTTGCTGATATCCAGCAGTAGCTGCCGCAGCGTACATTTGTTGGTATTGTTGCCATTGCTGTGTGGTTGAAGCATCAATGTTTCCAGCCCATTGATTGTTTTGGTACATGATTCAGCCTCCACGGGTTCTTTTTACACTGTAACATAGAGGTGGTGAAATAAAGATGGCTAAAACGAACTTGTGTGTGATTATTATTCAATCGTTCACACCAGGCATGGAGAATAAGAAGTTGAGTGTTTGTTGTTGTTTGATTTCTCCAATTCGGAAATACAGGGCTACCGGGTACTCTAATCACGTCATTAAATATTTTCAAAATAAAATAAAAAATCGGATTTCCTGTGTGTGTATGTACACACAGGAAATCCGATTTTTTATTTTATTTAACTTATTTAACTTAACCAGAGACTGTCGGATTATTTTAAGTGGGTAATACGCATAATATTAGGATCACCGACTACTCGTACCTTGTCCCATGAGTCTTTGCGTGTACGCCGTCCAAGGCGTATACGCAAAGGCTCATGGGACAAGATACGAGTCTAGGTCACCGACATGAGGACTGTATATTCGCGTTATTTCGCGAGGATTCGTAACCATGATGTCATGTTCGGAAATGGCAAATCCAGGCTAAATTTAGCCTTATAATGACATCATAGTTTGCCATAGAAGGAATGTAGTTTACCAAATAAGGAAAGCATGGTCTGCTACACTATTCTGCCGGGGACAACCCAAACACCATCTGTGTATTCCATTTTCTGCTCTTGTCCAAGAGGCTAGCTGCACATTCACCACTTATACAAGATTGTTTTGTACTGACAGATTATTTTAATGGTTATCAAAGGCTGCACGTCGGAGGAAGAGTCGTCTGTCGTATATTTTACTGATGGTACGACGTCAGATTTCAAGTTTAGTGTGTATGTTTGGCTTTTTCTAAGGGGTTGTATTTTTTCCGTTCAAGACCTTTTTAAAATCACTTTCTACGTCCACAAAGTTGTCATGCCAGAGGTGAAATGTGGTACTTCATGTGTCCCGAAGTTGGATAGAAAATCGCTAAGTTTGAAACTTCGCAGTAGCAGTTTGCCACCTCCGATTACACGCACGCCTCTGCCCGCCAACATAACGACAAACCGACGGAACCCGTCTGCTACTCCACCGCCCAGGATACCAACGTCTGCTTCAGCACCAACCGCGAATGAGCTACTTAACTCGAACAGAATACATACTTCTACGAAACGGGAACGACGGGTAAAATTCAGCAACTGTACTACATGTCAGACAAACAACAACGAGGGAGACGTAACAGAACTTACACCCCAAGAGCTGGCAAGGAAACTCATGGGTTCTCGCCGTGAGGTGGTTGTGGTTGACTGTCGACCGTTCACATCATACAACAAAAGCCACATATCAGACTCATTGAATATTAGTTGCTCGGATAGACTTAGTAAAAAGAGACTTCAACAGGGTAGGGTAACTTTATCAGATCTTGTTTCGTCGGCTGATGGGAAAATTGCATTTCAAAGACGTTTTAACAAGGAGGTTGTCATTTACGATGAGAATACGAATGATATTGACTGTGTAACTTCTATGAATCCACTAACATTAGTCCTGACTTCTCTCCGTGAAGAAGGAGTCACAGCTTCCTATTTGAAAGGTAAGTGAATTTTGAAAGTAAAAAGAAGTTCATGCACACATTTTAAGTGCTTTAATGATAGAACCACATACTAGTATGGTAGTTTTACTGTTCATAAGTATTTTTTCTGGAATATATCTTGGCTGTTTATACCTCCATGGCATGTGCGACTATTAAAAGCAGTTCCTATTTTGAAGCAGTAAACAATCACCTACGTCATGCATTCATTGTTGTTGTAAAACTACGAGTAAACAAATGAAGCCTCGGCTTTAACGTCAATGTCCAGTCATTATATGTGATGACGTGTAAATTCTTATATATACGGTATATATGTTACGTAAGTTTTAAAAATAATAAAATAAACATCATAAAGACGCTGTAAACAAAAACTTGGATTTCCTGGCAATGAGTATGACTATGATGACATAGTTGTATACCTTGTACAGTCATATCCGTTTATTCAGTTGACTGTGACTACATGTGCCTGTCAGTAATTAGTCATGGTCAAAAATGAAATAAAAACAAAACAAAAAACTTTTTTTTTACCTACAGAATCACTGTATAACTGAAGTGTTATAATGGGTAGTTAGTATGATGTATGTTGAGCACACACTGGGTTTTATAAACTCATGAATTTGTTTTATGGACATTTATGAATATTATAAAAAAAAATATCCTGAAAGAACCTCACACTGCATTCAACTTCCCAAAAGGATTGACTGTAGATACCATTTGTCTTTGCAGGGTTTCTTCAATCCTTGGCCGATTTACTGCCAAGAATGCAAAAACGATAGATCCCATAAAATTTGTATGAAAGTACCGCAATTCTTTCACTAAATAATTTTTTTAAATGTAAGTCGAGTAGTACCATTATAGTTTGGCACAGATCGTTAAATTGCGAAAGTATGCCAGTGTCACAGGAGAAGTTGAAGGTAAACTAAGTGCAGTGAAGTTCTATATGGGCAGTATTGGCTTGTGATTGGTTGAAGTTGTTTTCAATCACTATTGAAACATTTATAAATATTTTATATAAAATAAATTTAAATTTGGTATTTTTATTATTTATTATCATATTATTAACAAATGATAACTAAGTTATAAACAGAAAGACTTATATTTAGTGATGGTCCACTGAGATATACTATTGATTTTAAGATGAAATGTATTTGGTGAGAGTTTTATCATGAATTGTTGCCAGCACTTTCAATAATCAATCATGTATTCCAGTGTGTATAATTTACATAAATTTTTATGAGAATCTGGAGGTTATAACTGCTAAATGGAAATTGAATTTTTTGTATAGTACAGTCATATACTGTATGTATGGTGACTTTGTATGGTACAGTCATATACTACGTATGGTGACTGTATGGTACAGTCATATACTATGTATGGTGACTTAGTATGGTACAGTCATATACTGTATGTATGGTGACTTTGTATGGTACAGTCATATACTGTATGTATGGTGAGTTTGTATGGTATGGTCTTGTACAGTAAGTATATGATCCAAATTATCAGTAGCCAAGTTCTAACTATTTTCGCTTGAAGACATATGTATTGTATAACAAGACTAATTTATAGTTAAGTAACTCTTACTCATTCTCCGGGTGGTTGGTAATGGTTACAGCAAAAATAATGATATATACATACATGAGTTCATACCATAAAGTGCTTAATTTCACTGCTAGCAACTTTCATGATTTGATGATTTTATGGTTTTCGTTATGACAAAATTTCACAAAAGTAACTGCTGCAAAATTTGTTTCTCTTGAAATTATAATAGTTTCTTTTGTTAGCTCCATGTTTACAGTAAGTACTACTTTGGAACAAAGATTAAGAAAAATAAAAACATATAAGTATACTGTTTACCCTTACATGCAGTATTAGGATTCTGTGGGGTCACTTCCTTGGCAAAACCAAATAGAGCTTTAGGATGAACAATGTATTGATTGCGTGCCACTAGAGAATGAAATTCATCTTCAATTTGACCTTGCATTGTCACTTGTCTTAAACAATTAAGATTTAGTTTTTTGAAGTATAGCTGTAATAAACAGCTATTGTCAAGCTCTGTTTTTCATCACTTATATCATTGACCCACAAACCCCCAGAAGAGCAGCATCCTTTCTTAGATTTTCATCATGAGCATTCCTGATATTTACTCTGTACATTAACAGGCATCAGATTACACTGTTCAACACCTATGAATTGCTTCCTAACACTGTCATATTCATAGGCAGTCTTTATCTATTTGTGAAAAGTCAATTGTCAAAATATGCATAAATTTACATTGAAAAAATGGCCGCTATAATGTACAGACATTTACACCATCAAAAACACAGGTAACAAAACTATGATATCGCATATGGTTGTTGAATCGAAAACGATCAAAATTATAGTGATGATATTCAATAAAGAAATGTTCACTAAGAAAGACGAGATATCTGACATACTGTAAAATACATTGAAATATCTGAATGCCATTTTAGCGAATTTGACTTTGCATGAATTAACAGCATCTTAATTTAGCTAATGTGCCAACAATCTTATTGTGAGAATATACTTTTAATAGTTTAAATTAGCTACATCTTGAATTAGCAAAATTATAACTAGCTAAAAAGGAAACAAATAATGAGCACTGCACATGTTTGATCAGTCATGCTGACAGTATATGTGTGACAGCTTTCGTTGAAACCAAAAATATTGTTTTCATATAAGCAGAAGCATTTACTTCTGACGACATCAATTACATAGTTCAAACTAATAAGAAAGACAAAAAAAGTGATCAGCAGAAATAAAAGGTTCATCCAAGTGTTTGTAGGTCCATGCTTGTATGAATCTGAAAGTGGATAATTATAAATTGTGTGCATACCAGTATTGATATGTATAATGCATGAATAACTGATGTCCATCAATATCATATTACAAGGTCATAGAGAGTCTTTTGATGTGTTGGTTTTATTTCATTATCACATAGTTTGGTTCAATGAAAAGATGACAAGATTGTGCAAGAAGAAACCATGCTTATAGAACGTTAAAGAATCTTGAATGTGGAATCTGTGATCTTATAACCTAGGAACCTTTGCTGTAGGGACAGTTGCATTGCGTTCAGTGGGTAGACCATTGGAATGTAAATATTTGTTATACCTGCATGATATGATCTAAAGTCGCTTCTTATTTTTCATATATTTGAGAGTGAGGAGTCTTGTGATTGTAACGTGACAATTCAGGGTGGTATATTATCACTTGACACTATATGCACCTTTATTTATAGATAACCCATGCATAGTACCGTTATGTACTACCAAGTAAACACAATCACTGTGCTGCCTGCTATCATATTATGGACATTTTTGTTTAATTCAGTGTTGCACCTACCCACAGTCCCTCTATAGACTAGAGGAACTGTGACCTACCCCTTATCATAATTTGGTCAAATCATACTAGACCTCACCATACTATTATGGGGTCTATGCTCAGGTTGACCAGATAGATTCAATTTCATACAAATATGCCAAAAGTAGCAGATATTTCAACTAAAAAACTCATCCTGCCATCTTATTTGATCAGCGGATTCTTTATAGCCAAAGTTATCTTTTATGCCAAAATAAATTTCATTTGAGAAAAAGCTGCAGTGATGTATTCATTCCTTGAACAGGGTGATGCAGCGTTTGTACCTCAAAGTTCTGAAGAGCAGTTTCAGGTGTGCTATGCACAAATTTTGTGATTCTTCTTTTGTGTCATTATTAGCTGAATTTTCACATTATAGCAATGTAAAACACAACATTCTTATGAAATATGAGTTGAAATTTAATAAATATATACATTGACTAGGTGATAGCAAATTTATTTTCAGTGTGCACAGTTGAAAGGTTTTAAAAAGCCTGCGAAACAGTTCTCTTCTTTCTCAGTGTAAGTGTATATTATTGCAGTGGTATGAGTATCCTTATGTACTTTTGTTTAATATTATGGTAATATCATAATACATTAGGGACATAAAATTACCATAAATTGTAATTAATATTAAACTAGTGGTCCCAATAGATAGACAAGTTTATTTACTTGCAGTTAAAGATAACCAATTTTGATAAACGAGAAGGTGTTTGTTATGTGGATATTTGATGTACATTTGTACAATTAATTAATTTAGTCGGAATCTTTGTTTACTAGAAATATAGATTGTTGTATGTAGTTTATATTCACTAAATCCTAATGAATTCAATTACATACATATCATAGTGAAAATTATAGTCAATGTTCTTTTCGTTCTAATTTACCCCTTGGAAAATAGCAAAAAAACTAATTGTAAGTTAAAATAAGAAATTCACACAATAATTAATGATATTAATGTCTATACAGTGTATATGTCATCAACAATTTGAGATGGATTCAGATCATGACTAGATACTAATACAAGAGGATTATTTAAATCACAAACAGCTTGCATGTTCTAAAGAAACAAAATAGAAACTGCATGTGATACCATTCAATATTAGAATGACAGAATGTGATATGGCTACTATGTATACCGACTGTTACTGTAAATATTTTGCACAGATGGTATAAAGGGCATGGTACTGACGCTATCCCATATCCCATGTCAATATTCTAAACATTCCATATCTTAGCTACTTTATCTACAGTATATGTATAAATATATTCTGTAAAATACTTTATTTTCGCTTGGAATTAATTTTCACTGAGGTAATGATTCAGTGAAAATAAAATCCAGCAAATATACCTTTTTTCCTATATTTTACATTCAACTCGCCAAAAATTAATGTGAAAATAAATTCCATACAAAACACCCAGAAAGTTTTTGCAGCGAAAATTAATTCCAGCTAAAATAAAGTATTTCACAGTATTAGACAAGATAAATAACACTATCAACATCCAAATTGTTCTCACTGTACCTGTTCCAACTTATGTACTCTCAATAAAATAAATTACTGTAGAATACTTTATTTTCGCTTGGAATTAATTTTCGCTATTTTCGCTGAAGGAATGATTCAGTGAAAATAAAATCCAGCGAATATACCTTTTTTCCTATATTTTACATTAAACCCATCAAAAATCAGTGAAAATAAATTCTATACAAAACACCCAAAAAGTCTTTTCAGCGAAAATAAATTCCAGCGAAAATAAAGTATTTCACAGTATTTTGACTGCACAGTAAATTTAAGTAATTTAAGTGCTTTATAGTTTCTGTTTCCTCACACCAAAGCTGATCACTCATACATGTAGCTATAATCTGTATGTAATCATTTAATAGTTAGTATTCTGTGCGCAGATTACATTATATAGTGTACTGGAGTATTTTATGTCTTTGCATAAACAAGAACAATTATTTTGAAGGGCAGAATAATCAAAATCGTGCTGACTCTCTGATAGTATTAATCTTAGTATGTTAGGCATCTAAGTATATAATGTCAAACAGGCTATTTCATATGCAGCAGCTGAAAATGTCACTTGGTGCCATAGTTATAATGTAAAATACATAAAGCAATAGTGTATCTTATTGAAGTTTATATTGTATGTCTGTAGCTCAGTGTTGAAAGTTATCAGGTGAAATGTTGCATGAAATTCTAACTGAATGAATGTTTTGAGAATACAACTGATATTATTAGTCCCTGGACACATTATAACTTACCTGCCTTTAAATTAGACATTGAATTACTTGCACTCAGAGGCATCCCTTTTTTTTCTAAATAAAATAATTGCTTTAATTATGAAATACGTATGTATCTGTCCTGTATGTGTGTGTGTAAAAATAATTCCATCAAATTGTCATTCATATAAAAAAAGCCTATTAAAATCACGTGTCGAGAATTCTAATATTTCATATGAAATATTTAATATTGAATTCTATTTTTGCCAAAGGAGTTTTTTTATGATAATAATTGGACGAGAAGTTATGTGTTCAGGCAGACATCTACAATTGGAAATTGAGTTTGTTGATAGTTACACGTACCATATTTGCTCTGTCACAAGAGTCTTTCTTTATTTATTGTATACTGGATTATAACAAACATGACTTATTTTGTGCAATAGAACAAACATGGTAATTGGGTTTTGTAATTTACAATTTTTGATTTTATTGAAAAAGATGAAAATAATATCATATCAATTATATTATTATATATACACATTATATTGAATTGGTATTGAATTTGTTGTTGTTTCATCTATTCAATTAAAATATATTGTTCTAGACTTACTTCCCATCCTCCTGTGATTATAGTTGATGTTATTGAGTTTACTGGCAAATAAAAACTGTTTTAGGAGAGCTAAAATTAACAGTCTTGCAATCAGGATGAAATGTGTCCTGAAGGCAAAATAGGTTACATTGCAATAACCAATTTGTAGACAAACATGTGACATGTCTTTGTGAATTATGGCTCATTATCATGTTGTTAGTGCCAAAATGTTGAAAACTGCTACGGGCGTGGGTAATTTCATGCTGTGAATGTGTTGTTATTTTGTGTCTATTACAGCAAGAACCGTACTGGTAATTACCTCTAAAGTACCTGGGCTCCTTGGCTGACATATTGCATTTTCAGGTTATAGTGAAGTAAGTCCCTTGGTACCCCAGGAACAGCATACTGCTTTAATGTGTCTGGAGTTTCTAATCCGTGATAACAGACCACAATTCCTATTTGATATGTCATTTATTGTAGGCCCGAGATCAATTAAAATGCTTCAGTTCTGATGAAATTTAACGTAACTCATCACATTCTCGTTTTATTCACAGGAGGATTTCAAGCTTTTTTTCAACAGTATCAGAACCTGTGTGCTAATTCTCTAAGAAGTGATCAACAAGCAGAGATAACTGACTTTACCAGTCGCAGTCACAGAAATGTCTTCAAACATCCACCAACACCAGTCTTACCTTTTCTTTACGTCGGAGGAGAGAGTGACGCATCAGATCATGAACTTTTAAAGAGATTGAAAATTTCTTATATTCTCAACATGACTTCCCACATTCCACTACACTTTGAATCGGTTACAAGTAAAATCAAGTATAAAAGATTACCAGCAAGTGACAATTGTCAACAGAATCTTAGACAGTATTTTGAAGAGGCATTTGAATTCATTGGTAAGTATTTTCAGGCAACAATCCTGATTAATTTTTTATAATCCCATGAATTTCTACCTCACACAAATGACTTTGTTTGGACTTTTGCCCTTAGTTTTAGAATAGCTTTTCATTAATTATAACGGCTGGTGCTCAGCCATTTTGAAATGTCAGTAAAATGTCATGTAGACAGACAAATGTTAATATAATCAAATATGTGATATTTTATACCCCCTATCTCATTCCCTCTAGTATGTCAGTTAGACTATAGACTCAGTTCAAGACCCACCACCAAATAATTAATCTGAAGATGACAAAATTCATCACACAGAACAAATGCATAATTGCTTAATTTTGACAAAATTTATCACACAGAGAAAAAAAACCACTTAATTTTTGCTATAAAGTAATAAAAAAGTCTGTGAATAATCCAAACCAAAATCTTATTGCAACATTACATAGGCACATTGGGCAATTTGTATCAAATTTGTACCAATTTAACAAATTAAAGAAACTATGTTCTGACTTGACTGTATTGCATTAGAAAAATATTGACATATAACTGATGAATTTTAATAAAGGTGTATCAATGAAGTTCTATTACATATTATTTATAATTTCAAATGCTTGAGAAACACTTAAAACAGAAATCTGCCCTTTGTGTTATAAATAATAAAATATGGATTCTCCTGAGTTTTTGGATATACTATACTGTACAATGAATGTAGGAGATGATGTGTTCATGAATATGTAGGGTGACAAAAACTGTCATGCTGAGGTTGCTTTAGTGCAGTTGGCCAATTACTGAGATAAGAGAGATCAGGAAGCTAAATTGATGATTGATAGATTCAAAGCTATTGACATACCAATTTGCTATGTTTTTTTTTATCCATTTTGCTTGATTGTCACATTTGTGATCACACAAGGGAAGCAATCAAGCATAAACAGTGGTATTTCTTATCTAGTTAAATTATTATTTTCAGAACTTTATTATAATGGTATTCTCATATGACTGATAATTCAGTGATTTGCCATGTCTAGTTTTACTGTTTGTTCAGTCACAAATATGACCTATTAAATGTATCACAGTGCTTTGTTTTGATAAAAATCGATAAAATTAAGTACGATCTGTTAAAGAAAAACAAAACATTACAACGATCACGGTGTATGATTAAATTGATTATACTAAAGTTATTATTCAATTTCTATAAAGACAACTTGGTAGATTATTTACAAGAGCTGCTGTTCTACTTCTTAAGGCAATGTAGTTTTCTGTCAGTTTAATCTGGGATGCTGGGTAATATCTTGTACCTATTAGCCAAGTATAACTCATTAAAGGTATGGTCTAAGCACTTATGTGAATTGCATAGAGATAAGAATCCAGCTACGTGTGTCCTCATTTTGCCCTAAGCTGCCATATGAAAGTCTTATTCATAGTGCCTAGGATAATTGATGAGTATTATAGTAACGTATGCTGCATTGTGATATAGAGTATTTAAAGTTCAAACTTATGCACGGTATGCACAGTGCAAAAATGTATAAATTCTATAATTTTTTGCTGAGAGCTTTTGTTAAAACTAAATTCCATGAAAGTCACTCGATGTGAAATCTTGACTGTTGGGAAATCTTCACTGCTTCAATATTTCATGTTTTTCCTTGACTTATGAAATTCAAACTTGTCCATTGATAAAGCAGTTTTTGATAAAGAAATTTTATTATAAATTATTAAAGATTTGACAATGAACATGTGTAGTTGTTTAGTTTTCTTTAAAGTTGTAAGTTCTAAATGTATTTTAAGAAAATGTATTTTGAGAAAACTTGTTTAAAAAGTGAATTATGAGTAGGCACTAGATAAATAGACTGTGTTGTATTGAGATTACTTCTATGAGATACTGTATCTGGCCCATCAATTAGCAAGGGACTACTATATATGTGAATATCTTGTTATCATGTTGATAAAACAGTGCCGGTTATAGATAGTCATCTTGTTCCACCCCAATAAATGGAATAAATGTTTTATTAGATATGCAGTCTATGTTCTGTAAGTCGTGCAAGAATTACCAGTATGATGCAAGAAAGTGGTTAAACAGTGACATATTTTATATTCTTTGTGTGAACTACTGGAGCCAGTTATATTTTGAGAAGATAATATTAGTAGTACTGTCGGAGTGCTTAATGGACCTAATAAACGAATAATTGGAAGAAGTAAATACAAATAAATATACAAAAAAACATTATCTGTATTACATTTCTTGTGATGCCTTTTTTGTGTACTTCCTTATTCATTTTTAATTAAAAACAAGACATAATACAGCTTTAAAATTATAATTATTTATTTACACTTGCTATGACAATCAATGTAAGTATTTTCTTTCAATGGTAAGACTATTTTATTACAACCCGAATACTGGACTTCCAGTACGTATAATTTCTACTATGCCTAATACTATAACTTTTTAGAAATTAACTGAAATCTAAATTTAGACAAGAAAGCTGCAAAGTAAATCCCTGTGGATTTGCTGTACTTGTTGTATTAGTTGTATACACTGATTGGAATTGTGTTTGAATGACATTTTTATGAAAAGAAGGGCAGTACCAATCATACTGCTGTGATTCACTCATGAAATTTACTATCTACTATTTACTATAAAGTGTATGGCAGAGAGACGAGCAATAGATTTTTTTTACTGTGTCTATTTTTTACGTAATAAAGAAAAAAATCTTATTTATTATTCTTCACATATGCACTTATAACACTGTTCCATGTAAATTGGTCGTGAAAAGAACATTGATTCAAGGCAATGGAGGCAATCTAATAAAACTGGAGAAAACATGGTTTAATTTATTCTGCCATTTTAACTCCATTATGTGCTGTAAACTCAACTTCAATATTGAAAATTGTGACACATTCATGCATGAATATTTCTTGATTTATTGACAAACGCTTCCTGTTTCTCTCTGTTTTATATTGCAGACGATGCAAGGTATAGTGGCTCCAGCATTCTTGTGCACTGCCAAGCTGGGATTTCACGTTCTGCAACGATAACCATAGCATACATCATGAAGCATACTAAAATGACCATGACAGATGTGTACAAGTATGTCAAGCATAAGAGACCAATCATTTCACCAAACTTAAATTTCATGGGACAACTGATAGAATTTGAAAATGCTCTCAATGAGGGAGTGTCACCTAGGATACTGTATCCACGACTACGAGGAATTGAAACTACTGTCTAGGATAAAATCTGACAATGGTAATTTAATTTGATCGAGGGAGAAGGAATGAAAAATGACAAGTCTAATCTGAACCAAAGTAAATATAAACAGTGCCTAAGAAAGGCACTCGTGGTTGGATGAGAAACTCCCAACGCGTCATCATAAATGAATCTTTTAAAGCATTACTTTACCTTCATACAGACACTGTGTCTCCCTTAGTATGCAACTTAAATCCATTTTATCAACTCTAGTTCTAGAGTAAATATCACAACTGTCTACACCTTGACAACAGCTACTGAAAATAAACCAAAGAATATTTTATAAGAAAATGAGAAATGATATGTTATTTCATTTAAACAGTTAAAATTAGGGACCATCCATTTTTTAACATGGTGGGTATCAAAGAAATAAAATTGTATAGGTTTAGGCAAGAAGTCCTGGCACAATATGATTTTACTATCAAACTCTGTTCACGTTTATACATCTTTCAAATTATGAGTTTAATTACTGTTCCCTTTTTTATTAAGGATAGGCATTTCATTTTTGTCTGTTAGCCATGGCACAGTACCACACATATTGGCACTTCATATTAATATAGATCTTTGACTATGATGTAATCAAGTAACACATTATCTCTGATTAAAACACCTTGACACGCTGTACATGCATCATGTTAGTGTGTTGAAATAACAGTATGTAAAACTCAGGTCACAGTTAGTGTCAGCTGATGTTCCTCTTTCATTCTTTTAGTTTTCATACACAGCTCTTATATTAATTAATTTCTGCCTGGAGATTGATTCAGTGTTGTAGCTTGTGTTTTAATTACCATAAATTGTTGTTCAGCAGATTCACTGCCAGTTCAGTAAAAGAAATTTCAGTATTTTTTTCAAAATGTGTTATCAAACTTTGACTAAGCTGGGTTACTTACCTGCAGACTTATTTTGTAACATGACAACTAAATCACTTACAGTGTAAATGTTGTAGGGTGCTAGTCCTTGTGCAGTATGCACTCCAATTTCATGTAAATAAACAAACTCTATTTTACATGTGCAGCTTTATATTATGACTTTAGTGATAATATTCATATTAAGTTCATCAAACCGCTGCCCCTGGGGGACATATCGAACACGATGCGTCACGATGACAACTAGATAACCTAAAGATCTTAATAAAGATTGTACACTATTCTTTTTTTTTTAAATTTGTCAAAATAATGTTTAATATATTTTTTATGGAGTTTATTTGTTGTTTTTGTATGTTCATGTGTTATAATTTATTACTTTATTGTGGTAATTATTCAGAGCTTCCAAGTTGAGCACAAAGATGGTTTAAAGCTTTAAACGCATACAGAAGCATTTCAAGCCTGCAGATATCATTAGTTGATGCGATCGATAGCAGCAGTAGATCAAATGCCAAAAGCTACTGTTCACCTTATTGATCATGGGACACGTACACAAGCTATCATTCAAAAATGACATCTCTACTGCTTACAGCAACTGCCAGCGCTAATGTGTGAATACAGTACATTAACATATCACTCAGACTAGTGAATATTTTAATAATCAATTTTGTATTCATAATACAGTCTATCTGTTGAGGTTGTCTTTTATTTTCTCATTATGGATATAGTTCATTTTGTTTTGAAGGGTACAACATAGTTGTGCGGGAACAATAGACATATCTTCAGTGCATGTTATTTTATGGAACAAACCATTTGACTCGTGGTAGGTTCTCGTGTATTGCTGAGGGGCAATGTACATATGCTTTATCTGTATGACAACTCCTTTAAAATGCTTTACTGATAGCTCAACATTGTTATCAAAATAATATTTACATATAAGATAAACAAAGGTCTGTTATTATATAATTTTAGACTTTAATTTTATTAAAACAAATTCTAAGATATCCACTGAAGAGTAGAATATGGTTATGCAAATGAAATCACTGCTTCATTGGTTTTCATCTTTTTTAGTAGATGCAATTTTCAGCTTAGTGGTTATAGTGTACTTAATAAATTCACATGATATCCACTATAACTGCAGACATGTCAGATAGTTATGTAATGATCACAAAGAGTTATTACCAATAGTTTATAAGCTGTCTGTTTCACTGAATAAAATACATTTTAAATAATATTATCGTCTATTTCTATGTCAGAGGAGGTTTAGTTTATTCCATCAATAGAAAGGGTTGTAATCAGATCCATATACAGTAATGAGAATAAGTCTGTATTCGCACTCTGAATTGTTACACTGTTATTAAACATTTTTACATTATATATTTCATATACAATATTTTACAATATTGGCAGATGTATTATAACTCTGTTGGTGGACTTACTTTGTCTTTAATGTCCAGTTACATCACATCAACACTACTTTACAATGATGAGTCATCATAATAATCAAATCTGTTTCCATGGAGAAATTTAAATTTTCTTGAATACAGATTCGTTCGATTTGTGTTCACTTTAAATGTCAGTTGTATCACTCATATATGATATGATATTGTTTCGGTAGATTATTTGTGATTAATTTGTTGTGTGCAAATTGAATTTCTAAATGTTGAATATGTTTATTTCTCGTGTCTCTGAAGCATAAAAGTCAATCAGCTATTATGATTTTACAATAAAAGTCAATGACATGTGATTTTAGTTTCATATTAAGCTGTCATTTATCTCTGAAACAAGCATAGAAGAAAGTGTTGTTTTTCACTATAGAAATATTGTTAAAATTCGCTGTAGAATCTCACACATTTCCAACATGGAACCCAGTTTATAATACTCTCTTCAGTTTGGTAATTAAAATACTGTTTTTATTGTCAACAATTATCTACATTAATGCTATTCAATAATGTGAGCATGGATCTACTTTATTAGACATTTAATGGCAACAAATATATTTGATGTTTGTTGTTCATTCTAGGAGGTGATGAGGTTACATTATAACAGCATGTGACTACATTGTTTGGTGTACAACTATGTGTTGGGGGGGGGGGGGGGTAAATACATTGAATGCTTCTGTCACATAATAACCAGTGCAGACATAACAGTGCTTCTACCTTCCTGCAAATGTCTACTGGTACATAAACATCTCAATAAGGGCGAATATTGCACTCTGTTGCATTATTTGACATAAAGACTTTTGTCTCAGAATTGTGTTAATTGCCCAAACTTGAGATTATTTCTAGCACAAAATATATAAATTTAGGGTCAGTTGCAGTGTGGATGTTTTTTATGTTTATTGGACGAACATATTTGGGAGTCTTCTATAACATTTTCATGTCGCATATTATGAAGTGACAATCTGGTATTCCATCACGGTAAATTGTTTTTTTTTTCAGGAATGTCAGTCACCTGATTTTCTCAAATCTTGCGAGCCTTCTCAATGTTTCTAAATGGTTCAGCCCTCACTGTGCAATGAGCACGGATACGTCGCGACTATGGTTAACTTGACAAGAATCCAGTCATGGAATTTGGGCAATTCATTATCTACATTTACATTATCCCCCATTCGGCGAAGCGCTTGCTCATCAACCAGGCATCTTACCGGGTAAATTAGAACGGCTGACGTCACTGCGCGAGCTTTTGCAATGTATAACTACGGATTGATCTTGTAAATATTGAGACTTATAAATAATTTATAACGTGCATGCATTACCTGACTTCAGTCTATTAAAGTCAATTCTTATCACGAAATGAAGTGCACGACGTGTATTTACTGTTTCTGCACGTGTGCGTAAGATAATACCTGGTGCGTGTGCAATAACCTCAAATGTGTTGGGTTTGAGGTCATACATACGGAGCGACATCCGCAAAAGCTCAATTTTCGCCAAGGCTACTGTGATACAAAAAAGGCTCTAAATTTAATCTGAAAAAATGTAGAATACTCGAGTTGTGATTACACCACGTACTATGGTAATAACAGATTTACGAACTGGTTTACTCATAGTCTGAAGATTAGAGCAAAAATTCACAAAGTATAGCTACCATATATTTATATGTAAATAATTGTTGGAAAGAACGCGCTTAACTGCATCATTCAACACAGTGGGAATAAACTGACGTAATATTGCTTGACTTCTGAGTGATATAATATCATCTTTAGATTTATGAATTCGAGACTATCTCTTAGTCGCCTCTCAAACTGTTTAACGTTCAAACGGAATAAATATGCATATACTTTATCGTTCTAATTCATGTTACGACACTGTAAAGGGGGTAATTATTCACTGGGTTTTAATTTAGCTTATTTCGCTGAATGGAAAAATGCGCTAAATTAAAACCCAGTGAATATGTAAAATTTAGCATAGAACACATTATCTAAATGATAAAACCGTGAATTTAAAATCCACTGAACATGCCTGAAATGGTAAATCAGTGAAATTTAAACCCAGTGAAAATTAGTGCTTTTACAGTATTATATTTTTTGTAATAATCAAGGGGACTGGATATTATGCTCATTTTATAGCCTGTAATGTTGTTCACAGCGTCGTTTTTGAATACAAGTACTTGCCAACTATAGGTTGTATGTGATATATAGATCATATAAAATGATCATAGATAATATTTTGGTTCGTTAGCTTCAAGTTCTGCATCAAATAGACACCACTAAATTCATTCGAGACATCTAGAAGATCGCGTTTGCCATCAAAAAGACCGTGACCGTATCCGGACATGAAACCGTATCCGCATCCGTACAGGTGAAATCTCGTACATTATTCAACATGATCGCGAATTTATTCGTGTTCGCACTTATGGAATCTTAGCTTTAGTTCTAAAAATGAATTACCGATCAATTATGGTGATTTTTCAGTAATGTTTCCAGCATTTCCAAGCAATCACCAAATAATTACATCCAATATGTAAATACAGATTTAAAACGTTGAAAACATGTCACTATTGGCATTACATTCGTTTAAGCTAATTTATGCACAACATTAATCACCATGGAGCAGTTGTCACGTTCTCAATTTAATCAGAGGCAACCAGTTTCGAGAAAATGCCATGAGTTCAGACGTGTCTCCATACGGGCGGACGGTCCCAACGTAAAACCGCGCCCTCTATCGGTACCTAACGCACAGTTACTTCAACCATGGAGGAACCATGCTTCAACGTTTCACAGCACTTGTGTAACAGACGGTTTAAAAAACTGAACACATAACAACACGTGCTGAGTTACGTCAGAAAAAGTATCGCTCTACCTCGAACATTATCACAAGAACTATATATAGCATCTATACATAGAATATAGTAAAATCTCTCAAAAACCCAGGGGTCAAAAAACATTGTCTTTTTTGATGAGCGACTATAGATCGAAACGTTTTAGCGGCTTATGACTCATTCACGTCATAGTGATTCATAGATTCAGAACAAGTAGTCACAATCTAGCCATTGAAAAAGGCAGACATACCAATCCAAAAACCCCATTAGAAAATGGAATTTGTAAACAATGCCCATTACAGAAAGTTGAAGACGAATCACACTTTCTTTAATTTGCCCACGATATCAAACAGATAGAAATGATTTTATTTCCAATATTTTATTCCCCAAAGAAATCATTACCAACCTGCAAAAATTCACATATTTAATGAAAAGTAATGACAGAAATATAATAAAACTTTTAGGGGAATTTTTACATAAATCATTTATTTTAAGAAATGAGCTTTCTTTGGATATAATACCTTGACTCTTTTTTTCTTTTCTTTTCTTTTCTTTCTTACGTTTTCATACTTTTGTACTTCTAAGGATGCAATAAAGTTATTATTATTAGTTGTGCTTTGTCTCTAGAGGGCGCGATTTATAGAAATGCTGTATTCGTATTCAGCCTTCTGTGACTGGCCGAGAAGCACTATATTTTAAGCGCCCTTAGAATTATCGTTTCCTATTTCAGCTGTACAACAAATCAACAAAAATAAAACTTGAATGATCCAGTATAACAAATGAACACTTTCTGTATCACATTATTTGGGTAGTTGTAGTGATAATGCATTCATCTCGTATCTAGACTATGATGTGGCACATCAGGCTGGAATACAGCAATGACGCTCATACAATTCAAACTACGTGTATATAACAAGTGTGTCTACAATAATTGACGAATCATAACAACAAGTTGAAAATGCAACCTATATGTCTCTAATAATTCTCATATATCATCAGTAAATAAACAATAAGAAAATATATTTATAATAGCCACTGAAAAAAAATCCAACTTATCACAGTATGATAACCGTAACAATTCAACATAACTTACTTCACTTAGGAAAAATAAACCAAATAAAAAACACGTTGAATTACGCGATCGACTAAGTAGATTTGGTAATCACTATTTAAAAATAGAAACCGGTAGGCAGTACTAAACTAAATAATCTCCTGAAGGCAAATTGTGTGAATTATGCAATGAAAGAGAAATGCTAGATGGGATCATGGAGTACCTCCATGATGGGATGCACTTTATTATATTTTGCCTAGTTTACATGAACAATAGAATTTAAAAAGACTTTTGAATATTTCATGTGTGCAGACACAATGATAGTCCCACTAGCAAGTACTCGACTACATGAAACACCCTCCCACTAAGTAATTCCTATTTTATTGTCACTGCGTTCAGAGTATCCCTGTATTTTAGTGAATTTGTCTAAAATTATGCTAGTAATTTTCACCTGCAACTGTAACGCTGTATTTTAACTATATATTTTTTTAGCGTTGTAGTTTTAGTGACCTTACTTATTGTACTTCCAAGTCAGTGTTGTGTCAATTAATATTATAATTAACAATTGTAGACAACTACAACTTAAAACACCCAGCTGGAATCGGGACAGTACGTAGAACTTGTATGTGATTTCGCGTACTGAGTTAAAGAGTATTTATATAATATCGACTTGCTTAGGGAGACCTTAGAAACCTGTCCTGTAAAGATGGCGTCGATCGCGATGGACGCCAACGACAACAGTGTTGGCGATATTACGCACGATCTTGCGTCATTGCAATTTGAAAATGCCTTGACAGAAGAAGAAAAGAAGTACTTATTACTACGCAAGAGAACACATGCAATTACAGTATCTTTTTGCGCACAGGCTGCATATTTTGTCACTATTTTAAACGAATGCAGGTAAGTAAGTTTACCAACTACATGTACCACAGGGAGCCCAGGAACTATAATCAACTGTAATACGC